GCAGACAAAAAGTTCTCAATGTGGACAGGTGACAGGTCCTACATGTAGCTGTTGGGAATTTTACACCTGTATAAACTTGGATTGATTGGCTATGATGGTTTCTGTTACTTGATCATGTCAAACTTGATCATATCAACGTACAGAGTATGAAAGCTACACCAGTTCTAACAGCCAGTCCTACAATGGACGATGACGAGTCACAAGAATTACTGGATATGTGATCCGATTGATGTTACCTTGCCCAGGAATAATACAGCATGGGCAAGCAATTAGATTTCATTAAAGGAAAATCCATTATTGTCAACCACCATGCAATGTCGGTGCTGTGTTAATTATTAAGAATCCTGTTGAATTAAGCAGCTAGGATTATATTTCTGAAATGGCCTCCAATCCCAGAAATCAACTGAAGGCGAGGACCAACAATTTGCAACACGTTTTTCTTCACATTTCATTTATTAAAAAAACAGAGAACTTACTCGGTTTCATCGATGGAATCGAATTGCTCCTGAAAGGCACTTGCCATCCTCGAAAAGAAGTTAACAGATGTTTCTAAATCATCTGAAGAAGGAAAACCAAGCCAATGGGAGCAAACTGTTAAATTAACTTCGTTAAATAAAATCATTCAATTCACATCAATGATTTCTCACTTGAACATTTCTTAATTAAAACCAGCCTGGCCCGACAAGATTACTCAGACTAATATGAAACAACTTCAGTGAATATCAGCATTTTTTAAGGCAAAATCTTTGCTCTTAACAGTTGGCATCGGATTCAGCCGAGTCCAGGTTGGAACCCTAATGGAGTCAGGATTAAAAATATCGTATCTTCCTGTCCTTGAACTGCTGGGGGTAGCTCTGACAAGGAAATCAGCTTCACAGGCTTTTCAAACGTGACGTTAAAAACTGATAAAAATATTAACGACACTATCCAGTTTGTTAGAGTGACGTCACTTCAGTTTAAACCACACCCACTGCACACAGAGTTACATAGAACCATCATACCAGAAGTTAACATGCAACTTGAATGTTTGTCTAACAGAACCCTGCAATCAGTCCGTGCGCATGATGAAGTCACTTACGAACCAGATAGTACCAAACTACACGGGGATACAAGGGGTATATCATCAACCCTGTTCCCAGGGCTACAAACATTCCTACATCCATCTCAGGTTCCCAGGGAGTATATACAATTCAATGCTGCCATTACAAATGCAAATGGTTAATCAAACACGACCATCTCTGCCCTCACAGTTGTCCATTTATACTCTTGGGTGGAGGCGGTGAGTGGTACTATCAAAGTGACTTGCCCAAAGTCAAACTAGCTGCAGGATTCAAACTCCTGACCCTATGTTTACGAGTCATAATCCCTACCCACTTAGCAACACACATCACATGTAGGCCAGTGGATTTTCATGGACTAGTTGCTCCTCATGTCTGATGTACTAACTTTATTTGAGCAAACAGAGAGCTACTATTCGCCTTGCCGAACTAGTTCTCTCTACAAAGTATTCTTTGTCAAATAAAGGAACTTTCCACACAAACCATACCAAAAAAAGCAAATAAATTGTACTTCTTTTCAAAGGGGAAATCTATTTAGCTTGAGAATGTCACACAGTTATTCAAGACACGATAATTAACCATCTCACCTAAAAATATTCCGTGGGTCTGGAGCAGGCCACCGTACCATGCTTTGAACTGCTGCACATATCTGGTTAAAGCATCGCTGTAGTCGGTCAGCTTCATCGACAGTTTGGGCGTGTCGGCCAGGGTGACCAGCACCCTTGCTGTGACTTCCGTCACGGCCGCATGGATTGAGAAGTCGTCATCAATGAAGAGATTGATGTTCTGGGCTTGGTCGTACCAGGTCCGGAAGGTGGGATATCTCGGCACATTGTAATACTCCTGTCAAAGAGGATTCACCCGAGTTGATGAAAGAATCTGCTTTTTACACCGAAGGCCATGTTTTAACGAGTTAAAACCTGGGAGCTTGAAGTTGGCATCTTTGCTAACAAAGACAGGTCATGATGAGCAATGCCATATCATCTCTGAGGTTGTCCAGATAAATATGTCCTTCTGCTACACACCTGACAATCAATCTTATAGGCAAAACCAATCAGCCCAGCACAATAACGGTGAGGTCAGATTCTACATAATACTGCTTATTCAGGTGAGTATATAACCAAATAAACTGGCTACGGCTAGGAGTGTCATACAATTCTATGGACAGCCCCTTGCTAGTGGCTTCAATAGGCGTGTATTATCACTAGCCTCAGCCACGACTTCTGAAAATGACTTTGCACAGTTTCAGAATGGAAACAGGGTGCTCACCTCATCATAAACATATTGCAAATCCACCGATGGTACTCCAGCCAGCATTAAGAAGGGAGCTGAATCACTTGACTTGCCCAGTGGGTCCAGTCTAGAAACAAGAAAGAAAGGGTGCTTATGATATCAAGAGTCAGGAAAAGTTTCTCACTTAGTGGAATTCCATCTGTGTCGATCTTGATGCAGGCAGCAAGGTTATTTTGCTGTACTTCATTTTGTCGTATTTCATTTTGCTGTATTTCATTTTGCTGTACTTCATTTTGCTGTGCTTCATTTTGCTGTACTTCATTTTGCTGTATTGAGTGGAATTATCATTTAAGATAGATTTTGTTGCATTCAGTCGAGTTCATACATCAGCCATGTTGCTTTCAAAAGCCCTGCATCTTGTCGTGTCTAGAATGGGCCTGAATATAGGTTAAGACAGATAACTTACTGAGGCTGCTGGATGGATGCACTGATCGGTCTCCTTGATGCCCAATTGTGATGAATACTCATGCTGTGATGGGATTGGTCAGGACAACTCACCTAACCAAAAAACAAACAAACCTGACATTTCTCAGAAACATGTAATGGATTGAACATTGACCTGAAGAAAAAGTTGTTTAGTTTGGTCATTAACTCAGAGTAAAAAACTTGAACTGTTAGGAAAATTTACAGGCTTCAGTCTATAACTCTCGTCCTCAAGGCATTTTGTTTCCAAGAGCTTTCCTACATCTGATCAAATCAACCAGTGGACTGTAAACCAAAGGCACAATATTCATTGTTAGATTTTGGTAGAATCGGTAGGTTCCCACTTCCCTACGGATGGATTTGTTCGATTCACACACACGACACCCAGAAAATGTCTCAAAGGGTCAAGGTGTTAGGTCTGACGTTTAAGCAACTTACGTCCTGGGTAGCCTGAAAGATGACTTTGGAGAGGAGAGGACTGCCAGCAGCGGCAAAGCTGTAGTTACCAGACACAGCATCGTCTAGGTTGATGTATGCCACACCTCGAGAATGCAGCTTCTCCAGGTTTTCCTGAATTATTACAAAAGGACAAGTCCATTAAGCCCAGCAAATGACATCAACACATTCTGTACAGTCTTTTTACCAAACATCACACAATTAGGTGCATAAATTGGACAAATGCTGCTTTCAGATGTCTGTAATTCTTTCAAGAGATTACAAGAATGCATTGAAGGAACAATTTTCATGCATGAGCCCCAATAACAAATTGACTTGAAGACAGAAAGAGTATAAAAACAATAAACCTTCTTAACGTGCATGTACATGTCAAATAGTCAACCTTTGGGTGAAATGAGCCAACTACATGCATATGTATGAGCATACAGATCATGACCTGCATATGCATGAGCATACAGATCATTACCTGCATATGTATGAGCATACAGATCATACATGCATATGTATGAGCATACAGATCATACCTGCATATGCATGAGCATACAGATCAACCTGCATATGTATGAGCATACAGATCAGGACAATATGCATAACTTACTTCCACCCATTCTGTTGAGCCAATCAATCCATCCTCCCCTGCATCCCAGCTAGCTAGGATGATAGTCCGTCTGGGCCTCCATCCTATACCCAAAACAAACCAATCAATCTCAAATCAACAGGTGTCTTCCTGCACAGTGGCAGATGTTTTACATGTAGGTTTCAGGAAGGTTCTTGACGTTAATGCCCAGAACCTTGAAGTTGATCCAAAAGTAGAACCTTGAAGTTGATCCAAAAGTCATAAAGGATGACATGATAGTCTCTCTTAACCAGACAGGATACAGTCGCACATTAACGTCTATTACCTGCAAGCAGGCAAATCCCTTCTCCAGGTTACAAACCACAGGGCACACTTGCTATCTTGTAAGAGAATCCAAAACTTGGATGATCTATGTTTGAGGATGGGAGTTGTGAGGTAGGAAAGGTGAACCAGCACAGTCAGCAATATGTCCCCCCCCCATTTCTTACCTTTCTTTATTAATTCTGACAAGACTCGAGCCACTTCCATCAAGCAAGCTGTACCCGTACCAGGGCTGACCATGCCTTGCGTGAATGAATCACGATGATTGCCGATGATTACATAACGATCTGAAGAAAACACAGGCAGACAGACACAATCATGGGTAAAGCAGCATTCTCGAGGACAGGCACGTGAATCGACAATAAAAGATTTCGTTGTGTGCCCGGCAAAAGCAAGTAAGCAGACTTACACCCTTCTGCCCGGAAGCATAATCACAGTAGAAAAAAATGTTCCGAGTAAAAGGGCGTAAGAAACAAACTCTCTTTATTTAGTAAAAACGGATAAAAACTTACTACAAAATCAACACAAGCTGTGCAAAACACAACCCTTGAGCAACTTATCAAACTACTTGGGAAATATTTTGGGAACTATTTGCAAAGAAATCTTTATGTTTCATTAAAATAAAATAGTAGCATACATACGTCTTTTGGCCGGGAAAACTTGTTTTTGCAGCAATTATGCTTCACGGCAAAAGGTTGTAAGCGATTACGACCTTCCAGGCATCCGACGATTTGATTTTGTCCTAAAGAGTGCATCATTAGTTAAACAGGCTCTTCTACTATGCGGGAGAGTGCCCTGTTAGCCCCTTGACGGCGAATAATTTGTTAAACATAAATCTCCTTGTTTGTTTCATGGAGGATGTGTACACTCGTTTAAGAATTCTCTTTGTCATATTTGTGGTTGAAACATTAATGAATAATGCTTAGTCGAGTCACAGCACAATGGCACAACTTTTGAGTCCCAACTTGAACCTTAACTTTCCTCAGTAGGCTGTCCTTGTAATTGGAGGTTTTGATAACAATGCCCACTGGTTCCAAGCAACGTCGGGCTCAAATAAGAGGAGGATGTCTTCCACCATGATGTTTCTTCTTGGTATGGTCCAGCACTGCCTACAGTTAAGATTCTGTGGATATTCCTTGTGCCACCTGCTCCAAAACTGTTCAGTGAGATAATGTACTTGTCTCTATCTCTATCAGAGATACACATCTGGTGGGAAGAACTGCCTGGAGGTGGTAGCAGGACGCTGGACTTCATTGTGAGGAGGTGGTAGGGAGTCAGAGATTCCAGACTGGACAGTTTGTTGATGGCGTTGACCAACAAAGGACAGCTTTTCACAATGGCCATTGTTTCATAGAGCAGCGCGCAAAGGGATGAATCATCTAACCTCCCGGGGACAAAGAGACACCACTCCTCTCAAGACACACCTTATTGTCCTAATCTGTCGTTCCCACACCCACAACGATGGGTAAAAAACCCAACCCCAAGCATCTTTTTCTGGTAATAAAATCCGACATTAACTGGCTATAGAATTTAATGAGTAGATGTCTTATCATCCCCAAGTATGAGTGTTAGGTTTTGTTTGACGTCAGAAGGTATTAATTCCAATCTTCTGATATTCTGTCAAGTACCAGCTACAGGTTCTGCCAACCAAGAGTGTAACTGTTTAGGTTGATGGCTCTCACCTGATTCAGTGGTTCCCGGAATGGTTGCAATAACATTGGTGATATCAACCAAGCTCAGAGTATTGAAGATGTCGAGTTTGAGACGGTGGCTTGCATCCTGGAAGCCTGGCCCTATGAAAGTCTGGTCGGCCACAATGGTCCAGTCACGAATGGCAGGGGGGCTATGCATGTCCCTAGGGTAATACCAAGCAGAGACAGTGAAGCCTCATCCAAGCCTGCTGTGTTCTAGACACAGGGCAAGCTAGATCAATGACCATAGTTAACCATAGTTCGACAAACTCTGATCGAACGCACACTAGTCGATGATGGTTGGACTAGTCTGGTCAACTTTCCGTGACCAGCCTGTCAAGGTTGGCCGCATCGTTGGTTGCCGTAAACAGTTTTTAATAACACAGCGCAAAGAGATATGCCAGAAAAACAGTACGTCACTAGTAAACGACCACTTTCACTTTTATTTTTGCAATTTGGCCCTCCCTGCTGCCACCTTTTCTCCCCTTTGACCTAATGACCTGACAATGGTTGACAATGGTCATTCACAGTTCAACTTCACTACACATACACTTGGTACGTCATGAACTATCCACTAGTTAACTAGTGGTCCTTGAACTAACTTGCCTAATGACAGTTTGTCCCTTCAAAGAGATCGTCAGTATTTCTTATTAGATCTTAACACAGTTCTTGTCCTAGCTGCAACAAACCTTTGTGACTTTTCGCCAGTGTATTGCAGATATTTTGAAACAAAATCAACAAGAACTGTACATACTTTCATTCAGTTATTAGAAAGCCTAATACATTCATCAAAGGAGATGGCAAAACTGTGAAACTCTTTTCCAGCTGACCATGCACAAGGGAAAAGACAAACGATGAAACCTTTCGTACAATGGATTTGAAACTTTACAAATGTCTTAATGACTACACAAACACACCAAAGAAAAGTGATCAGTTACTGAGCAAGATCTGAGAAAGGGGAGGCAATCTGCCCTAAATTTTTTCTCAAGTGCAAGGTGAAAAAATCCTGAAGCCACAATCTTTGCACTCACCTCAGAAGTCCCTTTGCAGTCTCATAGCTGATTGTGAGAACAGGAAAGTCTTCTACTAAGGACAGAGGTTTCCGGGGTGCTACATCTGAAAAACGAGCCAAAGATTCGTTCCTCGTTTTACAGTTCTCCCCAAACACACCAAGATAGCAATTGGCATCTGATGATCCCAGTTCCAGCAAAACTCCTTTTCAATGCTTTTGGCTAAAAAGGTACATCCATTTCATTTTGTGGAATTATAGCAGTTATTTAAAATTTAGAAAGAGCTTTATTAGAGTCCGATTGTTTGTGCGGAAATTGCACAAGGGCATAAACGTATTTAGTCTGTCCTTGGTTTCCCACCACTGCTTGTAAAAACACATCGCCTCTTGTTTCTCCTTTGAATGGATAGAAACCGAGCAGCTGGTTTTAATAACATGTGCGAGAGAGCAAACTTGCCCCCTTCCCAAATCTAGAGAGATGGCGCTTATCCACTTACTGTTGGAAGGGAAGAATGGAGTTGACGGGTCACCCATACTGAGCCTGGCTGACTCACGAGGCACCGCATCCGGAGGAAGCCACCAGGTGCTTGGGAAGGAACTATCTGCTGTTGTCCTGCCATTAGGATTGGCGTAAGTCTTGGGATCGGGAAAAGCAACAAGGGCAGTGCAATTTCGGTCCTTGCTGATTTCAGCCTGTAAGATAATAATAATAAATTAAAATTTGGATGGCGTGGTCTGCATAACAATAATCACAGGCACTTTACAAAGAAATACGACTAAAATAACTTACAAAAACAGGAACGGAAATCACTTACAAAATCAATCTACATTGTACTTGAAAATATCTCCATATAATAGCAAGAACTTAATCAAACACCGAAACATAAAAAATATAATTAGATAAAAATTGGTTAAAACAGGTCCCAACTTAAAGCTTGAGACTGTAACTGAAACAATAACAGGTGTTAGAATAAAAAGAGGGTAGGCCTAACTAGTCAAACGATAACAATGTAATAGCTGCTATCAGATTTTGAGTTCAGTGAAATTCATAGACGATATACGCTTGGCAAAACTTAAGGACCAACTGAAAAGGGAGCAGAGTTGCTGAACCTTAGCCCAATCAGACACTAGATGTATGTATACCCCAAATTTGTGACTGGTTACAGTACATGACAAGAACAGTGAACAGCAGCTCAAAAATTAACCTCAGAAAACTAAAAAAAAACCACTCATTCACTTGTTGAATTGCCTATGGATTTGCTTGCGAGTTAACTTAACCCTAATACTCCTCAATCCTCCAACAGGTGAAGGATTGAGGAGGGTTAGGGTTAAATTAATGGTTGTAAGTACACAGTCCAGTTATAAAGACCTGCACAGTTTCTTTTATAATGTACTTTCTAGCCAGATGTGATCTTAAACACACAGACAGGAATAGTTCAGTCACCGGTGCAAGTCTATCCCCTCCCCCCCAACCTGTGAGTGCCCAGAAAGAGTGTCCTTTCAGATGTACCTACTTCTGGTTATTACAGTCTCTTAGGAGAACAGACGTGCATGAGTAGCCTCATTTCCAGTTATATGGTCTACAACGTCCACATACTATTCCGTTTTCTTAAACGTCTTCACAGTCAAAGACACTTTGTCAGGATCAAGCTTTTTAAGTTGTCAACTTTATGCTGTTTTTGTTTTCTTTTGTACTACTGGGTTGGTGTTCATGTACAACATTTCTCTGCTTCCTACCATTTGAGCTAAGGGAATCTTCCCCAATCTGGCGAGGCAAATGCAACCACTGTAATTCAACTCTGTTTCCCTATGCAACAAATTGAAATCCTCGGTCCTTCCGTAGTTGACATAGATTGGTTTTGCCTGCAAGAAACGA